TTACCGTGAAGCAGCTTTGAAACACTCTGTATTGTAGAAAATGGGATATAAATAAATGTAACGACTTATTTTCCATTAAAAATGTATTTATGCTCAGTTAAAATTTTTCCATGGTTATTTGCAAATCCGTTTGAAGCAGAGTAAAGGTCCATCTCACTTGCGTCTCTCGTCTCTCCATCTGGAGATGTCCTCTGCAGTGTCCAGTTTGATCCTCTTGGCTCCTGGAGCGTGATTCTGCAGGAGAACAGCAGCGTCAGACGCTCAGTTTGAAACATCTAAAACACGCTCACACCAACTAGAACGAGAGCTATATTAGTGCTCATGTTCTGTTTGTTATAAACACACTGCAGGTTAGTGTTCTGTCGCTTTAAATGCTCGAGCTCTTTAAAGTCAGATGGATTCTGATTGGCATCGTCAACGTTTTTAGCATTTCTAAAGTCACTCTGAAACGGTCTAATTATCATTGCTGTCAGAGCTGATCCTCCCTATATGCAAAGTGTGCAAAGTGTTCCTTTCTTGTAATGCGGTGCGCTGTCGCTCTTTCTACGTAATATCCAAATTAGTCAAGTCACGTAGCGTGACCATCATATACAGTCTCCTGCTGTTCTTGCTCAATACTAAAAAGCAAGAAAACAACAAAAACGTTCTGTGAGCGTGATTCGAGACGGAGCGAAGCACGGACAAATAAAAGCTACTTTTGTGCTTTGCATGTGTCCAAATGTCAATCTTGGTGAGTTTTCACTAAACACAGTCAGTTATGTAAATAGGCTGAAAAGTAATCGAATGCTAGTCAGTATATTAGATCTGTGCATTCTGTCATTAATCAAACAACAAAAGAAAAGCAGAGATTTATTCACTGCTCCGTTCATAAATTTTGTTATGAATCAGTTTATGTTTCATTTATATGGTGAAGTCTTTGCAGTGCTTTATTTTTAGTAGGGCTGTCAATCGATTAACATATGTGACCCTGGAGCACAAAACCAGTCAAAAGGGTCAATTTCTCGAAATTGAGATTTATGCATCATCTGAAAGCTGAATAAATAAGCTTTCCATTGATGTATGGTTTGTTAGAATAGGACAATATTTGAAAATCTGGAATCTGAGGGTGCAAAAAAATCTAAATATTGAGAAAATCATCTTTAAAGTTGTTCAAATGAAGTTCTTAGCAATGCATATTACTAATCAAAAATTAAGTTTTGATATATTTACGGTAGGACATTTACTAAATATCTTCATGGAACATGATCTTTACTTAATATCCTAATTATTTTTGGCATAAAAGAAAAATGTATAATTTTGACCCATACAATGTATTGTTGGCTATTGCTACAAATATACCTGTGCTGCTTATGACTGCTTTTGTGCTCCAGGGACACATATTTAATCGTGATTAATCGCATGATTTTCACGAGTTAACTAGTAATTAATCGCAACTTAATCACACATTTTTATCTGTTCTAAATGTACCTTAAATTTATACTTTTCAAGTTTTTAACACACTAATTAATCAACATGGGCATGGACAAATATGGATGCTTTATGCAAATATATGTTTATTATTAGTGAAAGCATACTCAACAGAGCATGAAGACTAGACATGACGAACCATTGATCGTCTCTGATCTCAGATCAGTTTTATCAATTTGTAGACATTTTTAACAAGACATTTGTGTAATTAAAAGAATGAGTTGTAGTTTAGGCTCTCCATAAAACAAACAAAACAAGCCTTGCAAATGAATCATAATTATTTGAAAAACACATATTATACAGACACTTCATATTTAATGGTATTTTATTATTTTGACTGCATTTAATATATTACACTTTCAAGAAAGCATTTGCATTGGATTTGTAAAAAGCAGTTTTTATGCATGTTTAATTTTGCGAAGCAATTGGTTCAATTGAATCGAAGCTTTGAAAAGGTTCTTTTCTCCCATCACTATTAGAAATACCAGGTTCCCATTACTTCTCTTTCTTTGCACTGAGAAGTGTACTTACACAAGCTTGTTTACATTATTATCAGGACAGGGCAGCTCAGTTCTTCTGAACATACAAAATATACATTTATTATTACATTTGTTTGCCTCTCTGTGCTCACATACTGTATTTTGATGCAGCCAAATTCTCAATAAAACTGTTTTCCTTGTTATATTTTACTGTTTCTGTAAAGATCTGTTCCATTAACACGTTAATTTTGACAGCCCTAATTTTTACATTTCCTACTTTAATCAGTTTCTGTGTAGTAGGCTAATTAATATAGGCTAAATTGTTTATTTGTATTTGCCCTATTGTTTGTAATTTGCTTCCTTTTTTGTATTACTGACTTTTTTAACTCACTGTTGTTTGTTGACAGTGAAACTGCTCTGAAAGAATATGTTAAGGGGTTGAGGAGCATTTGGGGATTTTTAATTCCCACAGACAGACATAGTTTTGCTTAGGGCCCCCAGAAGTCTAGGATGGGCTCTGATTATTGTTGTGGACTCTTCGAGACACTCACGTTTCTCCAGTGGATCTTCACCAGCTTCTTGTGTGCAGTGAACCGACAGTCTTCAACAGAGCACTGCAGACACACAGAACGAGCAGAAGAGCACTAATGAGACGTCTGAAGGACAGCTTCATATGAACGAGCTGCAGAGGCTCACCTTCACGTGCTGCGAGATGTGTTCATCAAACATCATACAGGACTGCAGATCAACACTCATACAGGAATAATGTCTGCATTTACCTTTCTACCCCAGTGATGCTGCGCTGAACCCCGCCAGCCACGAGGATGAGGATAATGATGAAGATGACCTGAGAGAAATCACATGAGGTCAAACCGAGAAATTATTATAGAACTCACTGCTTCATATAACAACTATATCAACAGTGAACTAAACACATGAGCATACTAACTGAACAGTTAACCAGGTATATAATACTAACTAAATGAACAGTTTACTAAGTGTGTGACACTAACTAACTGAACAGTTTACCAAGTACATGATAATAACTAACTAGATATATTATGATACTAACTAACTAGATATATGATGCTAACTAACTGAACAGTTAACTGGGAATGTGATACCAACTAAATGAACAGTTTACTAGGTACATAATAATAACTAACTAGATATATTATGATACTAACTGAACAGTTGACTGGGAATGTGATACCAACTAAATGAACAGTTTACTGGCTGTGTGACACTAACTGAATTTACCAGGTACATGATACTACCTAACTAGATATATAATACTAACTAAACTAATTTTACTGGGTAAAAGATACTAACTAAACGGGTACATGATACTAAGTGAACAGTTAACTATGTAATACTAACTAAACAGTTTACCAGATACATGATACTAACTAACTGAACAGTTCACTGGGTACATGATACTAACTAACCAACCAGGTACATGATACTAAGTGAACCGTTAACTAGGTGTGTAATACTAACTAAACAGTTTACCAGGTACATGATACTTACTATGTGAACAGTTCACTGGGTACATGATACTAATTAAATGAACAGTAAACTAGGTACATAGTACTAACTAAACAGTTTACAAGGTACTATCTAACTAGATAGATTTTTATACTAACTAATTACATGCAGTATATGATACTAACTAAATGAACAGTTAACTGGGTGTGTGATACCAACTACTGAACAGTTTACCAGGTACATGATACTAACTAAACAGGTACATGATACTAACTAAATGAACAGTTTACTGGGTACATGATACTAACTAAACGGGTACATGATACTAACTAAATGAACAGTTTACTGGGTACATGATACTAACTAAACGGGTACATGATACTAACTAAATGAACAGTTTACTGGGTACATGATACTAACTAAACGGGTACATGATACTAACTAAATGAACAGTTTACCAGGTACATGATACTAACTAAATGAACAGTTTACCAGGTACATGATACTAACTAAATGAACAGTTTACCAGGTACATGATACTACCTAACTAGATATATGATACTAACTAAATGAACAGTTTACCAGGTACATAATACTAACTAAACGGGTACATGATACTAACTAAATGAACAGTTTACCAGGTACATGATACCAACTAAACGGGTACATGATACTAACTAAATGAACAGTTTACTGGGTACATGGTACTAACTAAACGGGTACATGATACTAAGTGAACAGTTAACTAGGTATGTAATAATAACTAAACAGCTTACCAAGTACGATACTTACTAAGTGAACAGTTCACTGGGTACATGATACTAACTAAATGAACAGTAAACTAGATACGTAGTACTAACTAAACAGTTTACACGGTACATGATACTATTACTAACTAGTTAACTGGGTACTACATGTTAATTGAGCACAGTGATCATCCTTTACTCCTAAACCGTGGTACCCGTCCAGATAAACATGACAGTAACGTGCTAAAGGCACCTCTCAGAACACTATGGTGTACACTGAGCTCGTGTACCTGCGCACTGCTGCGGCTGATAGTGTCTGGTCCAGGGTCCAGCTCCAGTCTCGGGACGCCTCGAACTTGCGGTAGTTCTGCAGCGCGGATCCGCTCCAGAGAAGCTCGGCGGCGGATACCGCTCGTGTCCCCCCGTCACGACCGACCGGTTCCGATCAGCGTTCTTACAGTCACATAAACACAAACACGTGCTGCTGTGCTCTTGGTTTTTAACGCCACCTTCTGCTCCGGAGTGTGGAACGGAGTTTTAGATTCTATTTATCAGTCCCGTCTCTCTAAAAACAAAGAAAACTTTACTATTTATCATTATAATTTTTCCTCTTTCTTGTTCGTACTTCCTACATTCAAGAAATAGATGAGGTATTGTTTCTTCAACATGACATTGTTCACATAACCCATTTAGATGTTTCCCTATTATTTTAAGTGTGCTATTTAAATTTGAGTGCCCTAACAATATTCTGTTATAGATAACCTCTTCTTTCCTTGATTTAGCCATACACTTTATATTTTGTTTTACTTTGTTTATTAACTATAATAACAACCCTGTGATTTAAACACAAACACAAGAAAGTTGCAGAAACAGCAGTTACATTTTAACTTTATTAAATGTTATATTTAACTTTATTTAGCCAGGATAAGACCAAAGATCCAAAGTCTCATCTCATGCAGCGCATTAACAACAGAACTTTATCACAAGCATGTTTGTAAACTTTTTTATTAAAACATAAAAATAATCAGAAACAATCGTACAGAGTTTTCATAATCAAATACTGAAATCAGTCAAAACAACTGAGCTTGTGTCAGTTTAAGACATACAGTTTCCATTAAAATATCTTTAACATTTGGTCCTCTTTAATCCTGTGGCATTTTATGATGATGCTTAGAGTATAAAGTCTCTAACAATCCTCCATCACATTCACATCACCAGTCTTCACTGATTAGCACTTTGTTTAGTTGCTGCTGGACAATCTTGCATAGATACTGTATAAATCAGTTAATAAACGTCATTATCTGACGTGATAAGGCATTGCATGTGACGGCGTCTGATCACACGACGCTGGCGATTCCTCTCCATTCTCACTGATCGACGGCCAGTAGTTTGGATTCTCTTCATACCACTGTACTGCAAACAACAGAGACACACGTCATATTCTTCTTCATCATCATCATCATCACACACAGAATCATCTGGAATCTCTTACTGGTCCGTCTGATTCCTTCCTTCCAGGTTACTTTGGGTCTCCAGCCGAGTTTGTGCAGTTTGTCTGATATCATGGGATACCGGAGCTCCGTCACGGGACTGCAGAAATGTTATGAACATTCATTTATTAATATTAATCTCAAACATACAGTATGACAGCACACATTCATCACACACCGGTCCTCAACAAACTCCATCCAGTCCACCAGCGCTTCCTCGGAGACGTCCTTCACTTTCTGTCGACAGGAAACAGTTGATTGTGAATTACTCTGATTATGAACGGTTAATCTAACACTGAGCTGGTCATGTGACTCCTACCATCTTCACTAGTTCTCTGGCGAGCTGAATGATGGGAATCTCAAAGCTGCTCCCGATGTTGTAGATCTCTCCCAGAATGCCCTTCTCCATGAGTGTCAGGAAGGCATCTGTGACATCGCTGACATACAGGAAGTGTCTGGACTGCAGGCCTGAGCCCTGGATAGTGCTGGAGACAGCAGACACACACGCTAGAGCAGATGAACACACACACGCACGCACACACAATACTTCTCTACTGAACACACACATACTCACACACACACGCACAAACTCACACACACACACTCACACACACACACGCACACGCACACGCACACACTCACTCACACACACGCACACTCACTCACTCACTCACACATACTCACACACACAAGCACAAACTCACACACGCACACGCACACACTCACTCACTCACACACACGCACACTCACTCACACATACTCACTCACACACACACGCACAAACTCACACACGCACAAACTCACACACACACACACACTCACTCACTCACTCACTCACTCACTTAACACACACTCACTCACACATACTCACTCACTCACTCGCACACTCACTCACAGGCACACTCACTCACTCACACACACATACTCAACTCACTCGCACACTCACACACGCACAAACTCACACACACACACACACACACACACACACACTCACTTGACCCCAAAGTACTAGGACCGTTGCTTTTCACGCTTTACATGTTACCCTTGGCAGATATCATCAGGAAACATGGTGTTAGCTTTCACTGTTATAATGATGATACTCAGCTCTATATTTCTTCGCGGCCCGGCGAAACATACAAATTTGAAAAACTAACAGAATGCATATTCGATATAAAAAACTGGATGACGAGTAATTTCTTACTGCTAAATTCTGAAAAAACAGAGGT